TTTTTTTATAAGCAGATTAGCTCTACTATGCTTTGCCATAATCGAATAAACCAATACATCCTTTGCACATTCCTTTTAAGGAATCCTTCCTTCCTTCCAGGCCTCAATTAATTTTCACGTGAAACTAGTCACAAATGATTTCTTTCGTTTCGATTCGATCCTTTAATTCTCAGACTTTATGGAATGCTGCATATTTGAATGCTATGTAGTTCTGTACAATAAAATAGTCTTTTATTTACTTATTAGGTAATATAATTATATATGTATTTAACTTTTGTGTTCAGAACAAGAGAACATTCTCTTTCATCCTGTCAGAATTTCACTGGCACTTGTTTTCTGTCTTTTTACATCTATTTATACTCTATGAAAGTACCCTACAGCGTTTCTAAAGGCGCATCCGCCTGCTGCTTTTTATAGTTGTGCAGATATTTTTGCATTCTTTGCAGAGAACAAACTGCAGAGTATCAACAGATGAAATATTCGTCATAATTCACACAATATACTGTACAGCTAGAAATGAAATAAACTTGGGAGATGATCGAATAAAATTAACATGAGAGAACAGTACTCTGTAGATTCTGTGCAGAATATCATCGCAGTATACTAGATATTATTAGCATCATCTTTTTAATCATTTTATTATCTGATTTTAATTATCTTAGTATCTAAAATTACTTATTTTAATTATCTTATTATCTAAAATAACTTATACATGGATGTATTTTTACTTCCAATACATAGAATAATTCTAAACGGTAGCATGTTTACTATCGTAAGTTCCTCCCCTTGCTGCTTGTCATCCTTGTGAATCATTGAGGCCCCCCCAGAGCATAATTTCTAAAATTAGAAGTGCCGTAGCCCTATGGAAGACCGCCAGCAAAGAGGAACAGAAGTAAATAAATAAATAAAATTGTAGAGTCATTAGGATTTTTTGGAAGCAGGCAAGATGAAAAATATGCAACCGCCTTCGCCGGGAATCGAATCACGGACCTCTGGAATACCGGCCCAGCGTGCTACCGTTACACCACGAAGGCACGCTAGGGAAGTGGGAGAAATACCTTATATACTCCCCTTTTTAAAGGGCGACTAGGGTTTTAGGGGACCTAGTCTCCAAATCCTGGGTGCGGAGAATCATCATCCACAACCCTTTTAGTTCGGGCACCACTGTAGAGTCATTAGGATTTTTTGGAAGCAGGCAAGATGAAAAATATGCAACCGCCTTCGCCGGGAATCGAATCACGGACCTCTGGAATACCGGCCCAGCGTGCTACCGTTACACCACGAGGCACGCTAGGGAAGTGGGAGAAATACCTTATAAAATGACTATTAAAATCATTAATAGTTTTAAAATTAAATAGTTAATTATTACGAAATGAATTATTATTTAATTAATATTTGTGAATTTTTATTTAATTAATGATTGTTATTTAATTAAATACAATTAATTAATTATTATTATTAAATAGTTAAATAATTAAAAAGATTAAAGTTAATTAAATAAAATGTAAAGAGATAAATTTTAATTTTTGTAATATAATTTTATTGCAAAAAATAAAATTTTCGAGATCAAATTTCTACTGAAATTGTCGTTCAGTTACATAAAAGAAGCGCCAGAGTCTTCTGATTTAAGGCTCCGGTGCGCTCTGTCTAGAATTATGATTTATCCCAAAAGCTAAGAAGTAACGGAGCCGGGCTCCGGTGGGCTCGCAATTTAAGCTCTGCCCCCCCCCACTCTCCCATCCCCCAAAAATAATTGCACAATTTGTTATGCAGAATTATTATAGAAACACAAACGTATAATTTTTAGTTTTAAAAGTGAAGATAACAAAAGCACAAAATAGGCGGAAAATCCAAACCATCTGCTTCGTGTCCGCCGAACAGTGTGCAGAGACGGAACTGCAGACATATGTTAGCGTAGGACGGTGTCAGGCCACCAGGAAATACATCAAAATGTTCCCTCTCCTTCAGTTTGCCCCTAACTGCTCGAAGCTCCTGCTTTTCTGACATGCGAAGAGTTCTTCGCATAACTGTGTTTCGTTTCGAGAATTTAGTGTTTCTAGGAGGCTTAACCCAGAACCTGATTTATGTCAAGTGAAAATCCATGGGCTACCACTTTCAGAGGGCCTCGAATATGTAAAATTTTAAGTGTAAATATATATATATATATATATAACATAAAAGTAAAAGGGAGAACCCAAATTTTATATTTTAGTTTCTTTTCCTTTTTCAAAAATCAGATACTGATTAGCTTCTTCTTTCGCTGGTAACTGATATTCCTCAAAACTTAGATTTGTAAACTGACGCTAACTTGCACAGTTAATTTCTGCCATAGTGTGACCCTCACATTCTAAGCTTATGACGTCACAGGAATATGAACATTTTTATATTACCATAGGCATGGTCTTGTATGTATTTATTAAATTTATAAGCAATTTATTTCCATTATTATTTAACAGTTTGTAATAAAACCTACAAGAATTCCTCACGGTTCTTCTTTTCATAGCAGTTTCTTCTAGTGGGGAACAAAATCATGCTTTAAAATATAAAAGCTTATTTTTTATACAACGCATAATAAAATAAAACCATGAAAATAAAATATTCAGAAATATTTAATGTAATTTTGCTTAAATATCTTAAATACGAAAGTGCTAAATCATCAAGTTACTATGCAAAATGCTTTATATAATTTGCATCACTTATATCTATTACATTGAAAAGAATCAAAGAAGGAAAGGTTTATATAAAAAAGTTTTGCCTTGGGTCTCCGGTTGTAAAACTTGTGTATCCCGTGAATAGGTGTAGCGTTTATGATGGCTTGAGGAATCTCTTACGAGATACAGATGTCAAAAACTGAAAAATTGAGAGCTGTCTTTGTTGCTTGCAATAGGTCAACTCAGAGTCGTAGCTAGGGTTTTCAACGCCCAGGGACAAATGAAGATTTCCCTATTCGTTGCAAAATGCGTGATCAACGTTGCTTGAGCCGAAGCAAAAAGAGAAGTTCACCTGCTTGGAAAAAAACAGAAATAGTAAAAATATTATAAAGCATTAAAGGATAATGTAAATGTAACAAATGAACGTAAAACATATGATGCGAGTGGATTTTAAAAGTTTCAATTGGATATAATGCGTAAACTGTTTCTACTACTAACTTCGAATCGCATACCAATTTGCGATATGTTTATTTTTCTCATATTATGAGATTAAAAATAGTTAAATGATACTGAAATATTATCTAGTGTCTACATATTCATATTTAAAGTCAATTTGCTGTTTCTCATGTCCAAAGAAAACTTTGAATTCGCTTTTCTCAAAACAAATTTTTTCGCAGTTCTTGTTGTGAAAATGCTCCACGCGTCTCATTTTCAGTTAAAAATGAATAATATTTAGAAGAAACTATCTTGTTATATATTACAGTAGATCTGTGTATGCATTTTTGGAAATGCGGTTATTAAAAAGTTTAAAACTTGTGATAATGTTTAACAAAAGGTGATATTTTTCCGAAAACTTAAGTTCTCAAAAATCCTTTTTAAAAATTTCATAATATTCAATAACGGATACACAAAAACTTTTGTTAAGCCTTTATATAGCTAACTTGCGCGCAAGGAGCATTTTAAATCTTTAATTAAAATAATTAATTATTTGTTTTAAAAATTTTTAATTTAAAATAAATTAAAATTTTGAACATATATTTTATAAACTGATGTTATAATATGTGTAAAATTTCTTGTTGAAAACACAAAAACTTATAAAACTCATTTTTAAAGCCCACCGTTCCCTTAAATAAAGAAAAAAAAAGGTGAAAAATTTTAATTCTTGCTACTTCTGAAATTTAAGCCACACCAGAAAGGCAAAGATTTTACTGTTGCTATTTGATTTTTTTATAGTAATAAAGATGCATATTATTATTGGACCAATATGTCGGTTAAATTAACCTGGATGTAATCCATTGAGTTGTGTCATAATCGTTTTTTGGAAGTCAGTAATTACAATTTGATGAAGAATACAAGTGCTAGGATGCACAAAACTAATTACCAAATACAATTTGCATGCAGTGAGTCATTCAGTTCAGAGTTGTTGTCTTTGTTGTCATACTCACTTCTCTGACCTATAGTCAGTTCAGAGTTGTTGTCTTTGTTGTCATACTCACTTCTCTGACCTATAGTCAGTTCAGAGTTGTTGTCTTTGTTGTCATACTCACTTCTCTGACCTATAGTCAGCCCAAGCCAACGAAATTCCTCGTGGCAAGGAGCGCAAGTTTACTCCTGTCGTTGGCAACAGCCTTCAACACCTTTCAGGTGACAGAGCGATTTAGCTCAATTCTGCCCCCAATTTTGATGAAGAGCAGCGACATCTCTAACGACGAAAAAGAGCATTATTTCTCGTCTTTTAACATCTTTATATTGTTTAACATCTTTATATTTCTTTATATTGTTAACAATTTTAACATATTGTTTAAAGTGATGACCTACATAGAAGGCAGAAATAATTTGGAGTTATGAAGTCTCTGTGGTTGCACCTCGGGGGAGGTCTGACAATCTTCCACCCCTCTTTCCCTACCATCAACTTCTCGAGATGACTTTCGACTCGCCGCACATGTCCCTATGTCGCACAGACACTACTATACATTTACAAACATCCATGCCATCGCCGAGATTTCAGTTCAAAACTTCTTATATTAAATACTTTAAGTCCCAACCCGTTAATTTATGCTTGCTCAACCAAACAGCGAAGCATCTACATCGACATTAAATTGAAAATTTAAAAATATAGTAATGCGAAAAAGATATTAATAAACGTAATAAAAATAATTTAGTCTTTGATATAAATTTTGTAAATCCATATTCATTCACTGGATTAATACATTTCTGTATATTTTTTGATATTTTTAGTACTATTTTAAATTACAGACTTTCATAATTTTTGTTGAAAAACTGAGAAGAAATTTATAAAACTATAAAGTGGGAATCAAAATATAAAAAATCTTTCCTTTTTTTTTTCAGAGGAGGAAGTTGATCAACTTTCGGGATCCATCTTCCCCCGTGTGCTAAGCAATAACATTCACAGTCAGCAATCCTGCACTATTTCCCAACCATATCATGCAGATGTGTGCACATATGCACCAACGTATGATAACTACCTCTATCAAATGAAATCTCGTGCCACACCATACTCCAGACCACCCCTCACTCCTTATGCTGGGTATGGAGGAACACAAGGCTATAGCCCACTTTATTCAAGTGCACGACCAAAGCAGAATGCTCATGAATACAGTCCCAGGTGAAAAAGCATCCTTTGTTGATGGAAGAGAGAATACTGCTCATGAACTATAGTGAGATATATGATTTGCAATGTGCAATATGAACATATTGTTTCCTTTAATATTGTATACATATCTGCCAGAACTTCAATTTTGTACAGTTTGCTTTCTATTTGTATGTTATTTCAATAAAAAATATATATTATTAGTTCCACATATTAATACTTTTCTTTGGTATAAGTATACAAACCTTGAATAATTTTTTAAAGGTATGCTTCAGAGACTTTTGCTATGTTTAATAAAGAGGAGTCTGTGGTTTGGTTTATTTAATTATGATATTAAGGCTATTTCCCTTAAAAGCGGAGATGCCTTCGTAGAGGACTTTCTTAGCGATACTGGCTAGTATCCACGCTACACATGGGGATAATCACAAAAAAGGCCATGCAGGCAGCTCGTTCGCCAGGATTCAGACCTGGGACTGAAGTACCAGTGGTCAGGGATTTTTCCACTCGGCCGCTGGTGGCTCCAAAGGGAAAGGTAGAATGTTACTTGAAGAACAGACTATTAAATTAAATATCAGGATATTAAAATTTTAAGTATATATTGTAGAATAGAGTCATTATGCAGATTGGAAATTCATGAAGCAAATCTGAATGCATATTGTTTAGGTAGTCAGTAAAATATATTAGCATAAGTCTTAACTAGTAAATTTAAGCAGCATTTAAAAAAATTAGCTATTACACCCTTAGCTTGTAATCTAATAAAATAAATGTTTTATCTTGTACAAATTATAAGTGTTTCAGTTACAAGTTAGCATTACTTGTTTCAAAATAAATGAAGGAATATGATACGGTAATTGTTTCAATTTTTCAGAGATTTCTTAGCATTAACAGAAAAGAATATCGGAACAGAAAAGAACTTGGATATAAGCAATACTTGTATTCAGCAAAAAATGTAATGAATTTTATTTACATCGATATGCCCATAGAAATTAGCTCTAGTAGTCAAAAGTTATGAGTAAAGATCCTTTCCTTATTTCAATATAATGAATATTGAATCTTGTAGGAAGAATAAAGCTAAATTCTCAGAATGAACAAAATACTTTTATTTGAATTTTAAAACAGAACCAAAAAAAATAAATACTGCAGCTCTTAACTATCAAAATTTTAAACTCTTAACTACTACAGTTAAAACTCTTATAACTATTAAAATATACTCCAAATCTTAAACTCTCTAAAAATATAGATATATATATATAAATCTTCCGAATCCTCTTCTTGTTGCCACACCGTAAAATGCAATTTCTTGTCCTATTATTTATATTTCACGTTCTCTTTAAGTCACGATCTTTTCAAGTCACGATCTTTACAAGTCCCCCCACAAGAAGCACATTCGTCACCGTAGAGACAATGCTGCTCAGAGTTCATTGAGAGAGAAAGAGTTAACACACAAAGGATCAGCATTCCCATGTGAACTTCCTTTGCGGTATGTCACAGTCATGTTATACCGTTGTAACGCTAAGGCCCAACGAGACAGTTTAGCACCATGAGCGGCGCTTTGGGTCAAGTAGGTGAGGGGATTGTGATCAGACACAATCTGCACTTTGGCACCGAAAATCCATGTGTCAAATTTTTTCAAGGCTTCGATGACACAAAAGGCTTCTCGTTCGATGGTTGAACCATCGTTGTGACAGGGCGTTAGTTTCTTGCTGAAAAATGCTATGGTCATTTCTTTTGTAAATGGCTTATCTTCATTATCAATTCTCACCTATGGTAGGCAATCCTAGTAGCTGTTGGTTTCCTTATCATCTTTTCTTCTCTTCTATCTTTCCAATGGCTTTGTCAAGTAGCTCAATACCATTCATCAATTGTTTTCAGCTTTATCAATTTCTTTCAAATATGGGATTTCTGTTCTTGGTGAAAGTCCTTATAAACTGAAAAAATCTCAGCAATTTTTTTTTCTTCTGCTTTTTCTAATAATTCTTCATCAACATGATGTAGATCGTCTACCTCGGACTCGGGCTCTTCTATTAATTCAGCAATTCCTTCCGTTTTTCTTTCTCGTCTTCCAGTTCTTCGCTTTCATCCGAATAACTTTCTGTCAATCTTCCATGTTTTCACTCTTGAACTTGAGAGGTTTCTGTGGTTTTCAGTTTCATTGTGGATGACATTTTCCTTTTCATTTTCAACTTTTGTTGTATAATCCACACTTTCTTTTTCATCTCCCAGTTCAACAGTATCTATGCTGTCCTTATTGTACTTTTTGTTTCTGTTATCATCCAGAATTTCTTTTTCAGTAAATTGTAATAGTTCACTGTTATCTGCAAGTTTATTTCAGTTTCAAAGATCTACAGCTTCTGTGTGATTTACATTTCATTTTCAGTTACTAAGTCAGCTTTCATACTTTCCTTATGGATTATTAAGTCATTCTTTTTATCATCTACTTTTCCTTCTCCTTTCCAATTTCAGCAATATATTCTTTCTCTTCTATGTTCTCATAATCAAGATTTACTGAGTTTTATGTCATCTGCAATTATTTCTTTTCAGCTGCAGTTTCAGCATCATCTGTATTTTCTGTTTTAAGTTATTGGCTTCACTTGAGTTCACTTTCATTGACAGTTTTTTTTCAACTGGGATTTCAGTCTCACCCATAAATTCGTTTTTACTTTCAGGTGGAATAATTTCTACATCTGTTATTTTGCTGTCAATTAACTTTTCCACTTTGAGTTCATCTTCTGTTTCTACCCTCTTAGTTTCTCCTGTTATAATTTCTTCCTTCTGTGCTTTCTGTTCAACAATTTATCTTCTATCATTTCTGTTTTCTCCATTTCTGTAAAGGCAGTTCTTTACAACTTCCACAGAATTTTTTAACATCTTGCTTAATAGTAGGCCAAAAGAATGAGTACTTGATTCGTTGAATGGTCTTTTCTCCCGAGGTGGCCGGCAAGAGGATTTCATGTGCCATTCTTAGGACTTCCCTTCTTTTTCTAAAGTTAACACAACTTGCTTAATGTTTTCACCACAGATATATTCGGAATGAAGTAATAATATCCATCATCGAAAGTATATGAATTTTGATTTTTATTTGCCCATTCAAAGCATTTTTTCAGAGTTTCGTCTTGTTCTTGATGGTGTCTTGATTCTAGTCTTACTCTATTCGTTGTTTTCCCAGACTCTATGTTTTCTTGGAAAGCTGATTAACAACAGCCAAATTTGTAGTATTTCTTCAACTGGTAACGGTTTATCATCTGTCTCTTTGTACTCTAAGGAGGATGCATCCCAATAACGATCACAGTTTAAAACAGTTCGATATTACCACAGAGTGTTCATAAGCTGAAGAACTCATAGCAAATCGGTAAACTAGCTTTTTTTGAACAGCACACGTAATGGACCACTCTACCGTGAAAATCATCGTCAATTTTCATCTGGAAAATCTTAGTGGAGTAATTTCGTTTTCACCAAAAGCAGAAGATATCTCTATTTTACTTTCTCCTTCGCAAGGTATGTTGTCAACCAATTTCTCACGGACTACTGAGATTTGTGCTCCCGTGTCTACGATTCCATTTAAAATAATATCTCCACATTTAACTTTGACAAGTTTAATTCATCTATGTTTCTAGACACGTCCACTGATTTGAGACAGGAATAGAGATCTTGGCAGTTAGCACTTCTGGTTTTTCTTTTTCTGTAAGGGGTGCTTGTGTTTGTATTAAGTTGTTTTGTGCTGTTGCAGAAGCACTTCTTGGTATCCGATTTTTGGTACATAACTTAGATGTATGACCTTCTTTCCACAATTATAGCAAGTTAGTTTGAAACTAGGCTTTTGTGGTTCGTCACTCTTACGGGATGGGTACACTCTTGGCGTGTTTTCAGCGGACAGCGATTTATTTCTGAAAGCTCTTTCTGGAAGTGGAGAACGAGGTTGCCATTTTTTATTAGTTCTGTCTGCTAATGGATTACCACCAGTCCGTTTTGAGATATTACGAACACTGTCATATTCGTCAAGTTTATCAGCTAATTTGGTTGGAGAAACGAACTTCGCCCAGTCGTCAAGAAGATGGTCTCTTACTTCATAGGGTCTCTTACTTTTCTTAATTTGGTCAGTAATAATCAAGTCTTTTAACGCGGCAAAATTTGTGATTTCAAGACCATTGATCCATTCTTCAAAATAACTTGTAATTTCGTAGCAAAAATCTCTCCATGATTTTTCAGCGCTCTTTTGGTGTATCACAAATTTTTTTCTAAAGCTTTCAGAATTTAATTTAAATCTCTTCAATAAAATGGCCTTAATGTACTCATAATCTTCAAAATTTTCTTCAGATTCCCTACCAATTAATTGAATGATTTCAGATGGCATTAAAGTCAATAAACATGAAACCCAATCTTTAGGATCAATCTTTGTCCTTTTAGCTTGTCTTTCAAATAAGGATAAATAATCACAATATCATCGTGTCTTAAATTGAATTTGGGAATAAGCTTAATTAAATCAAAATTATGATGTCCATTTTCATTGTTGGTGGAGTTTGTGTTAGTCGAACACGAGATTCATTTCGAGTTTCCTCAATTCAAACTCCATTTGCTCTCTTTTCTGCTGTGCTTCTAATTCTTCTTCCTTCGTGTTCCTCAATCTTCTTCCTTCGTTGTTCCTCAATCTCTCTTTCCTTCGCCTTTCTTCAAGCTCTTCTTTCTCCTTTCTTCGCTGTTCCTCAATCTCTTCTTTCCTTCGCCTTTCCTCAAGCTCTTCTTTCTCCTTTCTTCGCTGTTCCTCTTCGTTTCTTTTCCTGTCTTCAATAATCGTTAAAAACACTTCTTTAGCAAATGCTTCATCATATGTATCACTTTGAATTATTTCATTTTTTATCGCCACGATTTTCATACTTGGATCTACTTGAATTTCTAATTCAGCAGCTAAAGCCAGCAAATCCTCTTTTTTCCCACGTCCCATAAAAGCCATGTCTCGATTTTAAATAAACCTTATTCTTTGCAAATTTAATAAAAAAAAACTAATTTCTTGTTAATGCGTCCTACAATTTATCCTTAACATTAGTTAAAGTATGAACTCCCTGACTGCGGTTTTCTCTTTCGTTGGGGAAACAAAAAAAAATCGTTTTTATGTGCAACACTGTAGCAGCTGGCTGACGCTACAGTACTGATACTGTACAGTACTACAAGTACTGATTTCTGATTTTATTCAGTCAATAAACTCTTAGTTTTATA